TAAGTTAATAATATTAAATATATTTTTACAAATCAATCAGCTATCTACCCAAACATCTTTTTTAGAACCGCTAACAGAATCAACCGGTCAAACCAGCCACAACTAACAGCTGGTTAAAACAGCTATTACAATTCGCTATCCGCTAAAGCTAACCGCTAATTACCAAACAAGGCCAATATTTATAAATTAAATTTTTTTATTAAATAATACTTATAAATTAAAAATATGAAATTAATATGTAATACAATTTATTGAAAATGTTATATAAAGTTTGAATTGTGCAAAATAAAAAAAAAAATTGTTTATTTAAAATTTGTACACAACTTGTGTGATGCATGTTATCATCCGACTCGGTAATTTGGGATTACTTATTTGAGATCTCAAGATCACGTGTTGTAATAGTCACCATTAGTTGTAAATCCGAATTCCGTTTACCCCGAGTTATATCGCCAAACCGAGCTTCGACCGACATGAAGAAAAACTGACTCACTACAGGAAGACCGAAGTTACTACAAGCCGAAGTCATCCCAAACTGAAGTCCCCATGAACCGAGGTCACCATTCCCGAAGCTGGTGACAAGGCACCTACGCGCCATCTCTACGAACCACGAGATCTTCCATCATTCAAGTGGGACCCGCTGACGATACCGCTCACCAAAAGTAGCTTTATGAAAAAGGCATCGCACAAGTCCCGATATTTGTATCTCAAAAAGTTACTATAAATAGTTACTTCATATACTTGTAGGGGGACCCCCTGAACCGTTTTTATCTGAAACACGTAACAGCTCACTGTAGCTTTTCACCTCGGTTCACCTTGGACCGGGGCCATTGTTCGCGTTTTGATTGCATGTTCTACGTTCAAATCACCCAAAATATTTAAGTAATCATATCTGTAATCGTTGTTAACAATCACATAACAACAGTTTGGCGCTAGAAGGAGGGCCTCATAAGTTACTTGAGGTTAATCTCCAATCCTTGGCTCTTCAGCCGCCTTAAGCGCAGTACACATGTCGCATTCAGATCACCGTGGTCATACGTCACGAGACGGACACAGTCGTAGTGCTGCTCAATTTGCTAGACGTCTGTAGCAATACCCAACTTGCTTGACTATACCACTTTGTTTTAGAATCCGGAGTTTGCACGCGGGTTTGTCGCCTTAATGGCTCAAACTGTCCCTGGATATCAATGACGGCGCCGGGACACTCTCTAATCCCTACTACCCCTGCAAACCCGAGAATTCCATCTACCTGACGAGACGGTGGCGGAACTACTTCTCACACCACGTCTCAGCCTCGTAGTCGAACGTCGCATCCACACCAAGAACGCGTAGCGCGGCACGCCGAGACAGCACACACTCTCCCGGTGGTCCCTCATGAAGAAACCGCTGAAAATCAGTCGGGACAACCACGACGTTCTCCACCACCCGCGCGACATCAGGCTCATTCCCATCCAGCTCGAACAGATCTTTGTCAACAAATCAAAAGAAATCGGTCAGCTCGGCAAGAATCCATGGAATTAGAAGTGTTACGGCGAAGAATTGCCGAATTAGAAAGTCGGTAGAGGGCACAGGAAGATCCTCCACGACGAGCCTCCACCTTGGCGCAAGTATACTTAGAAGCCGACTCCCCTTTAACACCCGAGCTCACCTCGGAGCCTGTACTGGAAAAAGTCAAAGTCCCCCAAATCGAATTATACGATGGAACGTCGGATCCTGACTCTCACATCGGTCATTACACATCATGGATGGATCTCCATGGGGCCTCGGACGCACTTCGGTGTCGCATGTTTTTCCTCACCCTGGGGGTACCACTCTTTACCTCCTCATTCAATTTGGAAATGGCAACAGTTGAGGTCGGCATTCCGATCTCACTTCATAGGGGCTCAAGTCTATTTGGTTCCAAAGGAGTCTCTTGCTAATGTAACTAAAAAAGATGACGAAAGTGTCAAGGATTATATTTCTCGATTTAATGACCGAGTTCAAAACATGGAGCCATGTCATCCAGAAACTCTGCTTGTCATGGCGATCGCAGGGTTGAAACTGAATTCCATTTTTCGTTGGACATTGTGCCAAAATAAGCCGAATACCTTTCAAGAATTCCTTGTTCGAGCTCAGCAGCATATTATTGCCGAAGAAGCAATGTCGGTCCCATACTTTAATTTCAATTCGAAGTCATCTAAGTCGGGAACCGATGACAGGAAGAAAAAGTCCTACGGAAAACCGAACAAATCACAATTCCGAGGTTATTCCCGGGGAGATGCTAATGATCCCGAAGTCCGAGCTGCCCGGAAGCAATATGCTAGTGACGTGAAATCTGGTTATCAGACTGTCTATTCGGCTGGGGCCGCAACTATCTATGAAGAAATTAAGGGAAATGGTATTTTGCCTGAACCAAAGCCACTTTGGATGCCAGAAGAAAAGCTAGACAAATCACGTTATTGTGACTATCATAAATCGCTGGGGCATAATACCGACGAGTGCCTAAGCCTGTTAGCTGCTCTGTTACGCTTAATCGGTCATCCGCAACTCAGGAAGTTTTATCGCAACTCTGATACTCAGAAACGAGTGTCAGGGCATCAAATTGAACCATATGAAGACGATGAGGATGAAGACCGAGGTTCTATGCCGAAACGAATCCGACAATGAGAGAAAGAAGTATTCACTTTCACTTCGGTAGTGCTTAATGTTGACTCAAACGGGGGTTCTCGAGGACTTAAGAGGAATCGATCACCAAGCCCAATGCGGATTACAATACATCGAATAAACACTAATAATTCCCGGTGTGTAGCATCTCATCGTCAAATTAAAGCTTATGCTCGACAGGCCCACAATTCGAGTAAACAAGTTTTCACCACCGATCTACGCGATATTCTTAATGCACGAAATTGTCCTATCACCTTCAATATGGAAGACGCGAATCACTTCGCGCATCCGCACTCAGACGCACTTGTCATTACCGTTCCGATATGTGGAATTCCGATTCATCGTGTTATGGTTGACACCGGAGCTTACTCAAGTATTCTGATGCTGAAAGCCTTTGATAAAATGGGTCTTGACCCCGCCGACATCCGACCATGCAACGATCAAATACAAGGGTTCAACGGGAGCATTTCACGACCCATTGGCGAGATTACTCTACCCGTCAAATTCGGTATGGCGGAACACGTCACAAACTCGTTATGAAAACTTTCAAAGTTCTCGACATCAACAACGAATATAACGCTATCATTGGGAGAACTGCCTTATGCAAGCTCCGAGCTGCTGTTTCTATTTTCTACTATGCACTCAAATTTCCGACTACCCGTGGAGAGGGAACACATTATGGGGACCAAAGAGAAGCTCGAGAGCTCATTACCTATACACCATCCGCCAGAGTCCATTCTGCCACTTCGGTTGACGAAAGAAATTCCCAACCACCAACCACCTCGGACAACACGATTTCCGAGGAACCGAATCATGAGACCGACGTCCCCCTCACCTTGGATCCTTTAACTAAGGACCGAGGTAGACGACCTGAAAAAGAGCCGATCCAAGAAGAAGATGAGTTAGACCCAAGAACTCAATTCAAAGAAAAAAACCGAAGTGATCGAGCCGAGCCCGGAGAGGAAGTGGATTTGATCCATATTGACGAACCGACATGTCAAAAGTCATTGCGCATTGGGAGCCACCTTCAAGAACCCCTTCGGTCTGAACTTGTGTCACTTATCAAGAATAATTCTGATGTCTTCGCTTGGAAACACGAGGATATGAAGGGAATTGACCCCAGTGTTGCTAACCACAAGCTAAATCTCGATCGCACTGTTATACCGATCATCCAGAAGCATAGAAAATTGGGGGCAGATCGTCAGAAGACTTTAGAAGATGAAGTCAAAAAGCTTGTGGACAACAAGTTCATCAAAGAAGCCAAATACCCGACTTGGGTATCCAATCCTGTCCTTATAAAAAAGAGCAATGGCTTGTGGCGTTTATGCATAGATTTCTTAGATTTGAATAAGGCGTGTCCAAAAGACAGCTATCTACTTCCTCATATTGATTACATGGTAGACGCCACCTCGGGACACGAGTTAATAAGTTTTATGGACGCTTACTCCGGTTATAATCAAATTCCCATGAATCCCGAGGACTCAGAACACATTTCGTTCTACTCTGCCCGAGGCCTATATTGTTATACTATGATGCCATTCGGATTAAAAAATACGGGGGCCACTTATCAGCGTCTTGTCAATAAGATGTTTGCTAATTTGATCGGCCATACCATGGAAGTATATGTAGATGACATGCTTGTCAAGTCGGTAAACGCTTCCGACCACGTAACACATCCTCAGGAAATGTTCAGTATTCTTCGGTCATACTCTATGGTCTTAAATCCCAAAAAGTGCATCTTCGGAGTCGAGTCTGGAAAGTTCCTAGGTTATATGGTGAATCAACGAGGAATTGAAGCCAATCCTATCAAGATCAAAGCCATTCAAGATTTGACTCCACCGACCTCGGTTAAGGGTGTTCAGGCCCTAACCGGCCGACTCACCGCTCTTAAGCGGTTCATCTCCAAGTCTACAGATCGTTGTAAACCATTCTTCGAGGCAATCAAAAAAGGAAAACGATTTGAATGGACCGAAGAATGTTAAAACGCACTTACTAGCATTAAAGAGACTCTCACTTCTCCTACGACGTTACAGAAGCCAAATCCCGAGGAAATGCTGTTCATGTACCTCGGAGTCAGTGATACGGCGATCAGTGCCGTCCTGATATGCGAAGAAAGAATGTTGCAATCACCTATTTATTATGTCAGCAAGGCCTTACATGACGCCGAATTACGCTACCCTCCTATGGAGAAATTGGCATTCGCACTCGTCACAGCTGCTCGGAAACTATGACCTTATTTTCAAGAGCATTCCGTACCTGTTCGCACTTCGTATCCCTTGCGACAAATCTTGCACCGACCTGACACATCGGGGCGAATGATCAAATGGGCCGTAGAACTCGGACAATTCGACATCCATTACCAACCGAGGACTGCAATCAAAGCACAAGTATTGTTCGACTTCATCGTCGAATTCATGCCATCTTTGGAGCTACACAATGACGACCAATGCGTGGGTCCTTTACATCGATAGGTCCTCCACGGCAAACCGAGCGGGCGCGGGAATAGTTTTGGCTAATCTGGAAAACCGATTATTCTATCATTCGGTTAAATTTCTTTTTCCCGCTACCAACAACGAGGCTGAATACGAAGATTTGTTATCCGGACTAAATTTAGCCGAGTCAATGAACGTCAAGTACCTTAAAGTTTTCTCCGAATCGCAGCTCTTGGTCAATCAGATTAATGGTTCATACGAAGTCAAGGAACCTTGGTTGATACCAAACTTATCTTTGGCAAAACAGAAGTTGTCAAAATTCTCCGTTGACGTCGAACACATCCCCCGAACTCTTAACGTGCAAGCAGATTCTCTATCCCGACTGGCCTCGAGCACCAGGATGGAAAGTATGGAGTATGTCCAAGTTGGTCAGCAGGAACGATCATCGACCCATCTTCCTGAAGTTTTGACCATTGATCCAGATACGTCACAAAAACCTCTGACTTGGATGGATCCTATTATTCAATACTTGGAAACCGGGGTCATGCCTCCGGATCCAAAAGAAGACCGGGCACTTCGGACTCGAGCTGCTCGGTATACTTTGGACAACAGAATCTTGTTCAAAAGAGGATATTCGCTCCCACTTCTAAAATGTTTGACCGAAGCTATGTTCTCGAAGAGGTGCATGAAGGAATTTGTGGAAGTCACCCCGGCACGCAAGCCTTGTCATACAAGATCTTACGACAAGGATATTATTGGCTGACTTTAAAAACAGATGCCGCCGCATGGGTTTGTAAATGCCCGAAGTGCAACTTTTTGCACCTAACATCCATCAATTCCCTGAAGAACTCAAGTCGGACTACAGTCCGTGGCCTTTCGCCAAATGGGGGATTGATCTTATCGGTCCCCTACCGACCGAAAAGGGCGGTGTCCGGTTTGTAATTGTTGCTGTTGACTACTTTACAAAATGGGCTGAAGCTGAACCATTGCCCACGATAACCGAACAGAAAGTTGTTGATTTTATATGGAAGTCCATCATTTGCCGCTTCGGAGTACCGAACTCGATTATCACCGACAACAGTCGACAATTCGAAGGCAAGCGGCTTGAAACTCTTTGCGAAGAATACGACATCAAACACTACTTCTCTTCGCCTTACCATCCACAATCAAACAACCAATTTGAAGCCGTTAATAAGCTCATAAAGAATGGCCTCAAAGCCCGACTTGATGCTGCCAAAGAGGCCTGGCCAGAAGAACTGCCACACGTTCTATGGGCATATCGAACAACTACGAGGACGTCCACAGGCGAAACTCCATTTTCACTAACGTAGCCGTCGTCCCAGTTGAACTCGGTGAACCGACTTACCGGATTCAACATTATACCGAAGAGTCTAACTCGGACAATATGAAAGCTAACTTAGACTTACTCGAAGAACTTCGTACTCGTGCCGAACTCAAAAATGCTGCTTACAAACAAAGAAGCGAGAGGTACATTAATTCCGGATTTAAGCCTCGTACATTCCGAGTGGGAGATCTAGTCTTAAAGCGAATCATGGGGCCTGACCCCGGTCCACTCAAACCAAAGTGGGAAGGACATTTCCAAATTATTGAAGTCCTGCCCCACGGAGCATACCGAATCGCACATCCTGACGGAACTCCACATCAATACCCGTGGAATGTTGTATTCCTAAAAAAGTTTTACCAATGAATTGACCGAAGTCGAACAACCGACTTTCCTTTTGACGGACCCTCCTTTTGGCCTCTATGAGGGAACGAAATCACTCTTTTAATGTAATGAAAGTTCAAATACTTTCACTTATAAATCCGAGCATTAGCTCGGTACCGATGTAAAATATTTTGACACTCGGTTTTATCAATATTTTGTACCGATGTAAACGTTGCGACACTCGGTCTCGCCGATGCCTTGTAATACATCCAAATCCTATGTATGGTTTGATTGGGCTAAAGCTCGTCCATGTCACTTCAGAAAACATGATTTGATGGGTCCCGCTAACAACCGAATATAAAACAAACAACTCGGTTGGGGCCACTTCATAATCGGACTCTGACGAAGTTCGGTGAACCCTATTTATCTTATGCACGGCATGAACTGTGTTAAGTTTTGCAAATTCCTAATAAGTTTGCATAGCAACTTACACTATGACCGAATCTATTGAAAGATCAACGTGAAACTCAGAAAGTCTACAACTCGGTTTCAAGTTTAAACTCGTTTTGCACATCATAAATATTTTA